TTACCTAACCCAGACCTGAAATTATCCGTTGTTTCATATTTTCTGGTGTAGTGGGTACTTCTTGATAATCAGCATTTTTCAATGCTCCCCAGGGAAAAAATCTAATGGGGTTAAATCTGGAGAACGAGGTGGCCAAGAAACTAATCCTTCACGTCCTATCCATTTATTTGGGTAAAGTTTGTTCAATGCATCTCTTACTCTCTGAGCATAGTGTGCTGGACACCCGTCGTGCTGTAACCACATCATTTGGCGAACGTTTAATATTACATTCTTTAATAAAGTCCTCTATGAAATAATACAGCGTGTGCTAGAATCTCCTGTAATGTAAGAATGTTTATTTTACTACCACATTTGACCTTGCATGACCTTAAAAAAACCATAGCATTCCATTAAAAAAAATAGAGATGACCTTGCGATCTCCTCTATGCCTTCACCCACGCAGAAAATATTTGTGTCACAATATGCCCCCCTCTATACTGTGTAAGTTTTGTCCATATCATTTTTTCATATTATTACAAATAATGGCAATATTCAAAATGGACATAGTTATTGCCCCACCCTGTATATATTAAATTCAATTAAACATTAAACTAAATATTTATTTATTGCTTGTTCTGCTTAATCTTTAATACATGTAAAAAAGGTCACTACATGCTAAAAGAGTATATGGTATTGTCAAAGGGAGAATATGGGACGTTCGTAGAAACTCTACTAGAAGTGCAATGCTTTTTATCGAACGTACAAATATGTTTCGCCCACTGGTGTGCTTCTTGTGGATAAATCGCTTTTCACCATCACCGAACAATCGTTTCACGGGCTTTCAATTTTTCAGCGATCAATCAGAAAACCGTACCGGAGGAACTTCCGGTATCTGGCGACCCGTATAACGAGACTACGCTGGAACTGATCTTTCCTGGAAGGCAGCCACGTTTCAAGTTGAACGGCAAGAAACTGCAACTCCTGGAGCCATTGGACAGGGACGATGAAAATCTCTCGCACGTTGTTTTTCAGGTAAGGACCATTTCACTTTGCATCGAAATTCGCAACGGAGCATTACACAAGTAACTTTGTAGAGTGAGTTGTTCAGTCGATTCGTTTCGCACAAGCTTCAAGGCATGGCGTAAAAGGTTTCCCCTTCTAGACACCAGTTGTTTGACGTTACGAATGCCGAATCGGTATTTGAAATTAATAATTGAAAATGACATACCGACATTTCAGTTTATACTATACCTAGCTATCATTTGTCAATAAGATTTCTTCGGGAATTCTCGGAAAACATAGTCCATATTGCAAAGTTCAGACGATTCCTAACACAGAGGTGAGGTTGAGACAATGACTTTGTCTTTCGATTAAAGATTGTTTCCGATATGCGTGTGCTAAACCTCGTTACGAAGGCATATTATAACATTAAGACATTACTACCGCAACGTAGAAATAAATCTGACATAGTTTTAAGCAATTTTTCGTTTTATTCAAGCAGCCCTACTATCTTTTAAAATACAATGGACTTATCCGGTTCCGCTTTAATCGGTTTCCGCTTAGATTGAGCCACATTTTGATTGAGAGTTGACAAATTCGCTGGATTTAATTTTAAAATAAATTCAAATTTGTCTAGGTCCCGTATATACCTATGTATAGCGCGTATAACGATAAATATACTTTTTAATATATTGACATATAATTTCGGATTAACCAGCCATTTGTTCATCCAGCCAGGTTTCTGGTCCCATAGCGACCGGTTCCCAAATAGCACACGAACGTCATATGTACGTCCGGAGAACGTATGTCCGGAGATTCTACGTTCTCATTAAGATCTTTAAATGTCCTAGAAAGGTCCTCTTTACAAAGTGGAACGCCCTGTGTCAACATTCTCACAACGTTTTCCGAATGTGTAAAATTACGGTTACATTTCATTCTGTGGAAGGTGATAGAAGTTAGGTTAGGTTGGTTTCTGTTTGATAAATGAACGATTAACTTTCCTGCGTACTCCGCATTTAGTAGAAATTAGATCAAGTTAGTTCTTGTTAATAAATAAAAGGTTAATTTTCCTATAAGGAATTATAATAAAAATATATGTCTGGGGTTTATGATCTGTGTGCACATTGTGTGTATTTTTATTTTCAAAGCAAAATACTGGTTGTGTGTTTGTTAGAGACAGTTAAAGGAAAAAGATCACTGATTCAAAGCAAAATACTGATTCTATGTTAGTTAGACACGTTAAAAAAAAGAATATTTTTTCAAATTTTCTGAGGTTTCCGTACAAAAGCACTAGTGTCGTTAGACTTCTCTATAGACTCTCTAAAGAACGACATCTTGCTCATGGAATTCTATCAGCTCGCACGGAATGACATTGAGCTAAAATTACTAAACGAAACTAACCGAAATTTAACTCTTGAGAATATCTGTAGGACTTCCGAGACGGATGTTTCCACAACATCCGAAATTGAAGTCTTACGAACATCCTAGGGATATCCACTGGACGTAGGACATTCAGATGTAAACTGGACATGAAACGGACGCCCTTTGGATGTACACCCGCGAGCAAACTCGGCTTCCACTCGGAGAAAAAGCAATGTGGGGGTTAGGGCTTCTTACCACTTGGTCTCGGAGTTATTGAAACTTATGCGAAATTAACATTCGGTTTAACATTTATTTCAGTATTTGAAATAAATTTACCAAGCAGTAGGAGGTCCTAACCTCTACATTGCTTTTTCCCCTAGTGGAAGCCGAGTTTGCTCGCGGGTGTACAGTGCTATCTGGGTTAAGAGGGTGTCTACTGTATTAAAGTCGGACACCTGCAACGTTCTGTATTGAAGTTATGTTGGTGCCTATGTGCTGCTTTGTCAAGTGGGTAACAGTGGGTATTAGTTGAAGGACGACTTATGGCGCCAAAGAAACTGGTAAAAAAAAAATACATATACCCCATTCGTATGCATATATATATAAAAGTTATTCGAATAGTGTGTGTTGATTATTAACACTAGAAATATCTGACCCGTCAAAATGGCGGATTTCAGGTTTTTTTGTTTCGTTGTTACTGGAATCATAAGGCTGTTTGTTCGCGCCCGCAATGATTCCGAATGTTGAAGATGCACTGAATGTAGAACGTACCGAATGGTTACACAAACTCGGACAGTAAATGAGGAAACTTGGTTCAACAAAAACTAGTGGACTGTATTTAATATATAACAAACTTGGACGCGTGAATATTCAGGGGCTGTCCCTGCTCAAGAAACCAAGACTGACTTGTACACACACAAGCACCAGTTTGGTTCTATCAGTCACACTGACTGTTCAAAATGAGATTGATCTTTCTCCCTTGGAGTCCTGATTGAATCTGCTAAAAATTCGTAAGACTGAAGGCCTCCTCGGTGAAGGGCCTTGCCCCCCACTCTCACAGTCCGCCCTCAGCGCACCTCTTCGTGGGGGTGGAAATGTAAAATGCCCGCTAGGGTGGACGACAGTTTGGCAACCTTGGGGACTTTCCTCCAGGTACCGTACGCGAGGCTCCCTTCGAGCCGAAGCACGAACAACAGCGTCCCGTTACCCTTCGGAAAGCCCTGGTTTATGACATGGACCGTTAACTAATTTGGCGCGAGGGTGACTAAAAACTGCTGGTAGTATAAAATAATATCGTACCGTGCACATTTGGCGACCAAATGTGCAGGACAAAGTCTTTACAACTCTTCGCTCGCCTCGTCGATGCCATAAACCAATTCCTGGAACACCGTGTTCCAGAACATGCCGCCCACCTTGAACGGCTCTCGTTCAAAATACTATAACTAAACCAACAAAAAACACTAAACTATGTACATGAATCACTAACTCTAACGCGACAGGATATTACGAGTAGAAGACTATAAACAACTTAAACCTATTTATACAAATTACAAACAATGTCATAATGTTAATTCTGTCGGAGTAATGTCCATGTACGGATATGACGAGTTCGATAAAACTCCTTTAAAGAGTTGCGTTGTGATCTGATGATCCTTCGGGTTCAGCTTGGCTTGCTGGGATGTCTTCGTCCAGGGGTAGGACACAAATCTTCGTGACTGGCCGCTTCACAGGTCCATTTGCAGTCTGGACCGACACGACCCTGGTTACGTGGTCCGCACCGGGATGAAGCGCCGTGATTCGGCCCAGCTCCCACCGCAAGGGAGGAAGATTGTCCTCCTTGAGGACCACCATGGTTCCTACTCCAAACTGATCCGGAATGTCAACCTTCCATTTGTTCCGTTGTTGCAAATGGTGGAGGTATTCATGCTGCCATCGTCTCCAGAAGTGCTGATACATCGCCTGCAGCAACTGAAACCGACTTAAGCGATTCACTTTGACGTCAGTGACGTCAGGATAAGGGAGATCAGTTAATGGGCCTCCTGTAAGGAAGTGCCCAGGAGTCAAAGGAGTCAAATCTGAAGGATCGGTAGACATAGGATAGAGTGGCCGAGAATTCATACACCCTTCAATTTGCGTCAAAACCGTGTATAATTCTTCGAACGTCAACCGTGTCTCTCCAATAACTCTCAACAAGTGACGCTTCGCGGATTTCACTGAACTTTCTCACAGTCCGCCAAAATGAGGAGCGTGGGGAGGAATGAAATGCCAATCTATTCCCTCGGTTAATGCGAAGTCAGAAATGCACCGCTGATTTGAATCATTTGAAAGAAACCCTTGCAATCGCTGCATTTCATTGCGTGCTCCAACAAAATTTGTCCCGTTATCCGAGTACAAATCCCGGCATCGCCCCCTGCGCGCGATGAAACGTTTTAGTGAATGCCTCTGTCGTTAAATCTATCGTCAGTTCTAAATGAACGGCCTTCGTAACCATGCATACAAACAGGCACAAATACGCTTTCGTCACTGTTTTACTTCGCGTACGGTCTTTTATATAAAAGGGCCCTGCATAATCCACTCCAGTGCTCAAAAATGGAACTCTAACTCGGACTCGTGCCGCAGGTAGTTGACCCATTATGTAAGCAACACCCTTTGGGTTTGTCCTACTGCATCTTACGCAAGTTCTTAAAACACTCTTGACGACGCTTCGGCCAATATCGCCTCCGAATCGCTGATAAGACCGCTTCACATCCCGCGTGCAAACTCCGTTCGTGTTCACGACGAATTATTGCTCTATTGATAGGACTGTCCTTTGGCAAAATTACAGGATGTTGCTGCTCATATCTTAATTCGGCATTGCTAAGCCTACCGCCCACCCTGAGGAGTCCTTTGTTGTCTAAAACCGGATTTAGACAGCGTACCGTACTTGAAGAGCCGACCACTTTTCCTAAACGCAAGTCTACTAACTCTTGACCAAACGCTGATTTCTGGACCATTTTAAGGATGGCATCCTCGGCCAACTCTAAGTCCCTAATGGATAACCTAACAAAAGATTTCGGAGCTCTACTTATCTGGTTGTTCTTGGAAGCACCCGAAGCATCCCTGTGAATTTTACGGGTACGGACGTTATGGCAGAACCGTAAACAATAAGCGACCACCCGAGATAATCGCGCGTAGTGTGAAAATCGTGTCAGGAGACTACAATTTGTGTCTGTCTCTCCCTTGAGGACAGTACACACTACGGCCCTTCCCTCTGGCAACTCGATAGGTAACTGACCAGTGACCGGCCACTCGGTTGGACATTGTTGCAGCCACGATGGGCCGTTCCACCAAAGACCCAAGTCTTGTAAAGCGGACGGCCGTACTCCTCGCGATAGGAGATCTGCAGGATTTTGAGCGGATCCTACATGTCGCCACGTGCCCCGTGATAAGTTTTGGATCTCCGTAACCCGATTCGCGACAAATGTCTTCCATTGATTAGGAGATCCCTTCACCCAGGCAAGCGTGATCATGGAATCACTCCAATAAAACTCCCGAGCTATGGCAATCCGAGACGCGGTTCGTACCTTGTCGACTAAGTGCATTAACAACAAGGCCCCGCAAAGTTCTAGCCGCGGCAGACTTATTGTTTTTAGGGGTGCCACTCGCGATTTGGCACACAATAAATGAGTTGTACCATTACCCCTCCCGTCGACCGTGCGCAGGTACACGCATGCACCGTAGGCCTTCTCAGAAGCATCACAGAAACCGTGAATCTCTACCTGTGTAGAATTCAAACCTATTACAAGACGGGGAATCGCAAGCCGTCTTAAAGATTGTAACTCTGATTGGAAATCCTGGAATTCTGCATGAATTCTTTGTGGAACCGATTCATCCCAGGAAACCTTCAGCTGCCACAGCAACTGCATCAACAATTTTGCCCTAATGACAACTGGACCCACTAAACCGAGCGGATCGAATATTCTCGCGAGTTCGGATAAAATAACGCGTTTCGTTACTCGTGTCGTGATTCTATCCTTTATAGCGATTCGCAACTCATCGGTCAGTGGGCCCCACAACAATCCAAGGGTTCTTGGATCCTTCTCCGCCTGCGAAACAATGTCCTTTGGTTTGTCTGACACCGAGTCAACCACTGTTGGCTCGTTTGATGCCCATTTCCTCAATTCAAACCCTGCTTCCCTTAACAACCTACTGACGTCCCGTTTTAACACTTTGGCCTGCTCTATCGTGTCCGCGCCCGTTAGCAAATCGTCGACATAAAAATCTTGCATAATTATGTGACTCGCAATTGGATATGTGTCGATATTGTCTAATCCGACCTGCCGCAAGACACGAGTGGCCAAAAACGGAGCTGACGCAGTACCATACGTGACCGTGTTGAGTTCGTATGTCGCAAGTGGCTGCGTGGGTTCTTCTCGCCATAGAATACGTTGAAGACCACGTTGCTCGGGCGTTATCAAAATTTGCCGATACATCTTCGCGATGTCAGCATTTAACACGACGGGAAATTGCCGAAACCGAATTAAAATTGAAATTAGATCGTCCTGAACGACTGGACCGACACGCTGGATTTCATTCAACGATACTCCCGTGGACGTCTTTGCGGACCCGTCGAAAACTACCCTCACCTTTGTCGTGGTGCTCGTCTCCTTCGTCACGGCGTGGTGCGGCAGGTAATAAACTGGATTTGCAACCGAACGACCATCCCGTGATATCTTCGACATGTGCCCTAATCTTTCATATTCTCGCATGAATTCGCGATATTCTTGCCTTAAGATTGGTGACCTAATTAACTTTCTTTCTATATTAAAAAATCTTCGCTCGGCCATGTTGAAAGAATCGCCCAGATCCCGAAGACCGTCGGTGAATGGAATCGTCACCATATATCGCCCGTCCCTGTCTCGTGCGACCGTTTGTATGAAATGATCCTCACACGGGTGACTGTTCGCGTCATTGTTTGTCGAAACTTGCTCTATTTCCCAAAACCGTGTCAACTGATCATTCAGCTGATCGTTAGTAATCAGCCCACAGATCTGCGCCTGGGATTCAACGGCCCCCTGCATGCGTCCCCCGAACACCCAACCCAGCTGTGTTTTCAATAAAACCGGTAATCCACGTCCTAGTCTATGCTGGCCTACACACATGATATCCCACAGATAACCATTCCCGATAAGGAGGTCGATATCGTGAGGTGTGTCGAATTGAGGATCCGTGAGGTGAATACGCGATGGAACATTTAACACCTGCCTCGAAACATGAAAATTAGGAATATCAGATGTAATTTTTTTTTTTTTTTTTTTTTTTTTTTTT